GTGATATTAAGATAGATGGAATAGCTTTGGAATGGGTTAATAAATATAAATATTTGGGAATTGAAATAGATAATAATCTTTGGAGATCAAGTAGAGTATATTGATAAGCAAGTGGCTAGAAAGGTGAATAGAATGTATAAATCTACGAAAGTATTATCAAGAGTGGGTAAGGAACAACTTTTCAAATCAGTAGTGATACCACATATAAAATACTGTTCCACGTTACTTTTGATGGTCACAAAAATGGATATCAAAAAGCTGCAAATTAACTTTAATAGAGTATGAGAAAATGTATCAGCAGTGTTAAAAGAATTAAAACATTTATTTGTTAAGGAAGAAATTTTAAGAGATGTATTAACGTTTATATATAGATTAGAAAATTATTACCAAAATATTTGAAAAAAATAAGTGACGAAAAAATGCAGAAGTCCACAATTATGGGATGCGACAGGCCGATCATTTTCATTTGACCAGACAAGCAGCAACAAGGGTCAGAATTCACTGTTCCATAAGGGATTAACAATCTACAATAGATCGCTGCAAGTTGAGAAGCAGCTCCGTGAGGAAGCTTAGAGAACAAGTGGTAAAGTGGATGGAAAGGGATAATTTACAATTTGATATACCTTGCTTGGTTGTAACTTAATGTAAATTTATTGTTTTATGTAATTAGCCGTTGTCTATTTGTTATTATAAAATAAATATAAACTCATAAATGCAAAGGAAGGCATCTATAACACAGCCTTAAAATCTTTCCAGCAGATGCACATTGAAGATTTCTTTAAACTAAAAATAAATAAATATTAATATATAAAATACAATAAAAAATAATTTATCTGTAATTTTTTATTATTGGTTTATTCGAATTTAAAAAGCAAATTTTTGAGTCATTTGTTCACCAACATTTTCTTTACTTTGCTGATTACACTGATCAACAAAACTTCACTTTTTGTCTGTCAAATGGAATAGAATGGCTGTTTCTTGAATATGGCGCTCTGATTTCAAATTTGCAGAACATTAATTTGTAACGAGCAAGGATTCTTTGTAACAGGCAATTAAAAAGTCCATAGTGTTGTAAAGTGATTGGTTACCTTACTTACATATAATAAACCGAATCAAAATGTAGTTTTGAACTATTGTTTACTCTATTTCGCTCTATGAACATTTTTTTAGTGTTCAACAATAGTTTGCAAGCATATTTCGATTTCATTTATCTGATAGTTTTTCCATTGTTGCAATGTCTTTGTGGAGTCGCTCACAGTACAGAGATATTCAGAAAGTACAGAGTACGTCCAGAAAGGAAGTTCCATTTGGTAATAAAATTAAATTGTGTACAGATACAGAAACGTTATTCATTGCACAAAATTCTACAACTCTTAAACTACTTTTCCACATAACTGACGAAATTTTGCAGTCATTTGTCATAGCGTGGCACAAGGTTTTGTATACCTTCTTCATAGAAATTTGCCGCCTGTGTCTTCAACCAGTTGGATACAGTTTCTTTCAGATCGTCGTCATTGTTGGAGTGTTGACCGCCAAGGGAAGACTTGAGATGTAAGAACAGATGAAAGTCGCCAGGAGCGAGGTCAGGGCTGTACGGATGATGGCCAAACACGTCTCAGCCAAATCCCTGTAGGAGGTTTTTCGTCACATTTGCAGTGTGTGGTCGTGCGTTGTCGTGAAGAAAAACACCTTTTGACAGCAATGCTCGGCGCTTATTCTGTATTGCGCGGCGCAATTTCTGAAGTGTCTCGCAATAAGCATCTACTCTGATTGTTTGACCACGCGGTAAGAAATCAATGAGTAAGATGCCTTTCCAGTCCCAGAACACTGTGCACATCATTTCGGAGGTGTCAAGATTTGCTTCGGCTTAACCTTTGCTGGGATGAAGTGTGCTCCGTTCCATTGGTTGCCGCTTACTTTCAGGGGTGTCGTAAGAAACCCAAGTTTTCATCTCCTGTGATTATCTGTGTCAAATTCTTCGCCGCTTTCAGCATACGGGTCAAAAACTGAAGTGCACTACCCCATTCGTTTTGTTTTGTGTTGCTCAGTAAGAATCTTTGGTACCCAACGTGAGCAAAGTTTACGAATTTCAGTTTTTCGGTACAATTTCATGCATTAGTGATCGTGAAATTGGAGAAATTCAATAGCGAGAGCATTAATTGTAAACTTCGGTTTTCCTGGATCTGAAATCAATTGCGTGAACCAGTATCCAAAGATCCACGCCACTTCGTTCTTCATCGTGCACATCACTACGTCCGTCATTGAACCGTCGGACCCATCTTCTCACCATTGAATCACTCATCGTATTTGGTCCGTAAACATCGCAAATTTGCAGATAAATTTCACTTTCCTCGCATTCAGAAAACGGATCACAGATCTGATTTCACAAGTGGCGGCATTTTCAATCAACACCGACATTGTAAACAAGCACAACAAAGCGTACGTGACTGACAGCGATCTCCAAATGGTGCACGTTTCTTCTCCTTGATACAGAGCGTCTACCGTGCGATCGCAGCGCTGCAAGGGTGATAAATTGAAACGGAACTTGCTTTCTGGACGGGCCTCGTAAGCTAAGTGTGGACAGAGAGTTAAAATAAATTAAGTGAGAGAGGGAGAGAGAGACAGGGACAGAGAGAGATATACAGAGACAAGGAACGTTCGATTCCTGTAAAAGAATCGATTCTGGAATCGAACCCAGATTCCAAAAGATGCAGTCTATTCTAGAATCGAATCGAAAGAAAAGTATCGATTCCCTAAGCAATCGAATCAAATGAGAACACGTTCAACGAATGAATCCATACCGGGATTGAGCAGTTACTATTTAATAAAACACAACCAGATGTTAATTAATTATATTTTAATAACAATAATAATAAACTACGTAGTCCAACATTTTTATTGATGAAATAATACACTTGAAATAAAGTAAAAGAATAAAAAATATATTAATAGAAAATAAATGAAAATAAAGAACATAAAAGAAATAAATATATTATAACATCAACAATAGTATGACTAAATTGTAACGAATTCAAAGAAACACGACTTCACACAAGGCGATCCAAAGAGGATTTTTTTATTGAGATGCTAAAAATGTAATTTGAACCAAGAGGTTTGGTTTGAATGGAGCGGAAGGTGAAGACATGGTGTGAGGCCAATTAAAACACGGCATGGATTTCTATCAAATTAATAATAAAATAATAACTACATTAATAATAAAGGCAAAAGACAAAAAAATACAACAAAAGTGCAGGAAAATTCACATTTTAAAAAAATTCGAAAGTATTCATTTAATTCGATTCCGGCCTTTTGGAATCGATTCTATCAAGAATCGAAAGCAAAGGAATCGAATATCGATTTCCAAGAAATCGAAAGAAAAGAATTGATTCCGGAATCGTATCTGTAGAATCGGAACGTTCCTAACAGAGCCAGATGCAGAGAGAGACATAGACTCATAGAGCAACAGAGAGAGAGAGAGACGGAGAGGAGAGAGAGAGAAAGAGAAATAGAAGGAGAAACAGGGAGGGGGAGGACGATGGAGACAGCAGGACAAATGGGATGCCGAGATTCGCTAGTGTATCTATAATGCAGACGTTTCCAGGCGGCCATGAAACATGAACAAAAATGTACATCACATATTACGTTCATCAAAAACATATTATTAATGAGCGAATGAAACAAAATTATAAACGAATAATTATTACCACTTCTTAGACAGTCATGTTAATATTTGTAGTACAATAAGTTAAATTACAAACTATTACCCTACTTGTACTTGGCATCAATCATCCTAACCCAAAGTCGCTTTATATTGCACATATGTTTACTTCACCTATTTGAACGTGACAGCCCTATGAGAGTAGTTGTTTCGGCAAAACTTCTTAATTTGTTTGGAAAATCAAGTGGTTTATAATTTAAAATAACGATATTCTCCTTTACACGCCAAGTCTTCAACATAAACAAGTAGTATGATCATAAGCATGTTGGTTTGACACTAGCTGACTAATGAAACAACATAAAATATTTAACATAAGTTAATGTGTGTTACGTTTACAACATTTGGTCTTAGCATATTACAAATATTTAAAAAAATTAATCGTCAGTTGTATTTACCCGCTAGTAACCAGCAAAACGTCTGAGTCAGAACTGAATTGTCTTTCTCCTTTCGAACATGTGTCGTTCTCTCATGCATGCCCTTACTTTTCGTACGAAGTAATCCTTTCATGGCTTTGTCAGGTTCTTCAAATGGAATACGTTAAATAATTTTCAAACGTAATTATCAAATACAATTATTCTCAAAGACAATAAGGTGATCATAAATATACTACACTGCAAGGCCTACTTAAAAAGGTCATGTTCAGAACCAATATGACGTCATTATATACATAAATTAATATTCCTCTAATGGTACAGATATGATTTAATTTCTCATAATTAAAATTATTTTTAATGGAAATAAAAAATATTGAACGTAGCACGTGGATAAAGGGGTATAATTGCACTCATGGTAAGTAAGACAAAAAATGAATTAATATACAAAAACTGAAAAAACACACCTAAAAGTACAAAAACTGTGCCTCTCTTTATATTCTCGTTTCGTTAATTACTATAAAATATGTGAACATGTTAACACGTTAATATGCTACCCAATATTTAAAAGGTTTCATATAATAAATCTACAAATTTACTTTGTGTAAATAAATATTAACCTTGGGTAATTATAAAATAACTTTTGTTTTATTTCTTCTCTAATAAAAAGGAAGATTTATTTCATTACTTCAAGCCTAAACTTCATTTGTAAGAATGATGTATATTCGTGAGATGAACGCGTCTTTTATTTTTCGAGCAATGAACATGCACCCCGATAATTCATCTTTCCTACCTTCGTTGTGCCCGTTTTGTTGGTAACATGTGAAATCTAGTACAAACATTTTACTTTGAAGTGTGTCCCGCGATGTCGGCTTCAAAAAGGGAAAAATTCTATTCTTATAATACTTTAGTTTGCTTAATCGAGGGCTTAGAAGGCAAATATACTACAGTGGACATGCGAAATGAATCGTTCGTGTATGGAAAAATAATGCAAGCGGATGGGTAATTAAACATACTTGTATAATCTGAATTTACTTTGTTTTGTCTTGTATGGCCATATTTTCAATGCCGGTCCATGAATGTCCTTCACCGTTGTGATTATACTGTCAGTTTTGTATATTCATTCATTTTTTTTATCTGTAAGATGATATTATAACAATGGGTTACATTGAGAATTTATGTATAATTTCAGATTCATGAATCTTGTTATGTCTGATGTTACATACGTTGATGGTCGTGGATCAGAATACAACTTTGATTCTTTTTTTGTACATGCAAGGAATATTCGCTATATTCATATTCCGACAGAGGTGAGAACATATTCCTCTTCTGTATCCCCTTGTTGTAGTGTACATAACCTATAATACTCTAGTTTTGAACTAGTAACATGCTGTATTTTTATTTTGTCTGTAGTTGCAAACTTGTTACAAACACAGTGAGCTATTACAGTGTTACAATTTGTATAATACTAGTTTAACTTCCTTTCAACATGATTGTTTTATTCTGTAAATACACACAGACTTCTTATAAGAAGCAGGTTGTCTGAACTAAATAGGTGCAGCTGTCTGAGAAGTTACAAAAAATAGTGAAATCAGTCAATCATCTTTTTAATTTATTATTCCCATATTCATGGGGTTCACTTAAAGTAAAGACTAGTATAGCCAAAGGATTACAAGCATGAAAATGGGCAGAGAAAGATTTCTACCGAGAAGCTATGGAAACACAAGTACTGTGAAAATTCACTTTCTCTATCAAAACAACAACAATATGCATTCAGCCAACCGAAATGAAGGATCAATCAGTAAGGTACAACCCTCCCCAGTTAGAGATTTCCAATAACCTCAAACTTTTTTCAGAGTACTTGTTAAATTTTCATCAACACATTACTATTGTTCCAATCCATTGTAAAACCATTTTTATTCTTTTAAATTTTGTACCTTTTGAAGAGAGCAAAACATTAATTTACAAACTGACAGCTATTCACAGCTAGAAAGTATTATGTTTATTACCGTATTTCACTTTCTGAAATAAATATTGAATCACTCGCATCGTTTGCTTTCTTCAACTAGTGCCAGTCTGTAATCATAAATTAAATAACTTCTTATAAACTCATTTTCATTTGAAAGGGACTGTGAAATATCTTCGTAAGAAGTTTACTCCTACTATTTCATTACAAAAAGGATTTACAAATTGAAAGATAAAGTTACTGCTTTCAACATTTTCAAGAATATAGCTACACAGTGACATTTAACAAACACATGACGGAACCATTGAAAAGGAAATTTTGTATAAAACTTATAGTGTATACTTCAGTGAATAGATCTTCATTCTATTTGCATTCATTTAATTAACCTGTTCACATGTTTCTGCTTAGTCAGTCTATGGTGCTATGTATTAAATATTATGATTATTTCATAAATCTAGAATGTGAAAGTCACTTACGTTTCACTGAATTCGTTTGTACGTCTGATATGTTAGAAGTATATGGTCGATATTTGTTCATACATTACACTTCAACAACACTGAATAAATCAACAAAAGAATGATAGTTTTAATGTCACGTGTTTTCGTGTTTCTTACACTAGTTAAATTGAACCATCGTGTACATTCATGCATCGAATTCGGAAAAGGTACGATGTCAAAACAATTTAAGAAAGCAATGCAGGGATACTGAGAACCCTTAAGTCGGTTCTTCAGTCTTTCCATGTGTTCATAATGTATTTATAGTTACTTCACGACCAGTTTTCGAGTTATCTTAAATTAGCGGGTTTTTGTCGGCTGACTCCTTGTTAACATTTCCATGTGCTCCGTGTGTAAATTCTGAGTCAGCTGTCGTAGGCATAGGAGTGAGCTGGGCGCGAGACATTAGCATAGATTACACCAAGTTAATATGCAAAATAAACTTTCGTGTAAATTTGCTCAAAGTCTGAACAAGCTCAGGGCAGCTAAAACCTTTACTAAGCTTATCAGTTCGTGGGAACTAGCAGCGCTTGGGAAATTTCAGCACCTGCAGATAAGAGCTAATACGGGGTATTGCCATGAAATGCAGTCAAACCTGTTGCAAAACGAGTCGCGATCATCCATATACTGTAAGCGTTTACTTTCCGAGATGAATGAAGCAAAAACTACGCTAGTGAAAACTGGTGAAGTTTTTCGTTTAAACGATTATGATTGTGTGGGTTTTGATTTGGACAATACAATATGTAGGTATAAGTTGAGTGAAATGGTAAAACTCGAGTACGATATCTTATCGCAATACCTGGTAAAAGAAAAGGGTTACAGTAAGGAGTTTTTGTTGAAACCTATTGAAGATGATATGAATTTTGTTCAGAAAGGACTTGTTCTTGATTTTGCACAAGGTAATGTGCTACAGATTAACAGCAGTGGGTATGTATTGAAAGCTAGTCATGGCACAAAGCATTTGAGTAATGAAGAAATCGTCCAGGTATACGGTGAAGATCGACGTTGGGGAGTTGCAACTGAGTTTACAAGGAATATGCTGGAAGCCTGGAATGGCCCATTGTCTGAAAAAATTAGAACTTTACTTGACTACTTTGACATGCCTGCATCACTGGTTTTTGCAAGACTTGTTGATTCACTGGATGCAAATGGCTATAAACAAAATATTTATAATGTGTGGCCTGATATTCTTGATGGTCTCATATACATGTTTCGTCGAGAAAACTTCATGGAGAATACTGGAGAATATTTTCCAGCAATGAAAGCACATCCTCTTAAGTTTATTAATCAATGTAGTGATGATGTGTTGAATTGGTTGAAGTTGGTTAAAAAAGAAAAGATAACCTTTCTTATTACTGGTTCACATGTAGATTTTGCATCATTTGTGGCATCTACATCAATGGGAGACAACTGGCGAAATTTATTTGATGTTGTTGTTTGTTATGCTCGAAAGCCAGGATTCTTTACTGGTGGAAGACCATTTGTGGCAATTGAAGGAATGAATGAAGGTGAACCATTGAAAGGAACAGATTTAAAAATTGGGAACATATACAGCCAGGGCAATTGGCAAGATTTGTATGGGCTTTTCAGCAAAGTTACAGGAAAACAACGTCCTAAATGTGTTTACATTGGTGATAATCTAATTCAAGATATTTACACACCATCAGAGTTCACTGCATGTGACACAGTTGCTGTTGTAGAAGAAATGCTCGCTGAAGGAATGTGTGGATGCGAAACCTGTCATATAGATGAATCTGTCCTTGTTTCAAATGTTTGGGGATCGTATTTTAGTTCTACAACTGGTTCTGATGGTGGAAAAAATAAGGATTTTTCTATTTGGGCAGACATAATTAGGAAACACTCCAAGTTATGTGTGCCATCTTTGGAAGTTATGTCTCAACATCCTTTGGATTATGATTATCCTGCATTTGTCTTGGATGATGCTAAACGGGATAAGCAGTCAGGCTATTATCCTAATAAACCTGTACACTTGAAATTTAGTGACGATCCATAAGTATAGTGGAAAAAAATTGTTAATGTAGTCATAAAATGTGCCATTTTAATTGTATGACCAAAGGAAATTATTCTACACAAACATTTTGTTATTGTGTATCTGCCCTTAAATGGTGATAATTTATTTGCATGTTACATTCCTTAATGATTTTAAAAATAATTTTTATGAAATTTGTTCCACAGCTGGACTAATTCTGCTGTTTTAGAGTAATAAGCAAAGATTAGGAACAATTTTCTTGTTGTATATAGCTAATTAATTTGATGCACTGTTTAATATGAGAAAGTCTAGTCGTTGGAATTAGTCATTTGCAGTTACTGTTGTATATCTAAATTTTAATATAAGAAGACAATTTTGTGTAATGAAAACTAAGACATTCGTTAGTGTTAGTTTTCTTGGCTGTGTAATGCATGTGAACTGATTGTATTAATTACATTTTTTATTGTTCAGCTCTCCATTATTCAGACAATAAATGAACAGCTGCAGAAGATGAAGCGCACAGTGAAACCTGAGAGACAGCAAGTATCGAAGAAAGTTCTTCAGAGGCATACAGAGACCTTAAAAATGATTTATGGAGATACAAAATAAAATATATTACCCATATGGAGAAAAGTTCAATATATGTTGAATGTTTTTATGTATTTTAAAAATGGTTACAAAATGTTTGCTGTCATTCCTTACCCAAACAAAACAAAAATGATTTCCCAGTAGCGTCATATTGATAAAACGTAATGTACAATGCCAGAGAATATTTTGTCTCTACTTTACAAAATATAAATTGTCTGTAAATTAACTTATATGAAATCAGGGACCGATAATAGGGAAGAAATTAGTATTTTGCCAATGCAGTCAGTGGAGAATGTAATTTTGTTTCATAAAATGGTTATTCCTCAATTAAATACAGGATCTCTTCTATATACAGTTAGGGAGCCTTGAGCAAGTGGGTGTTAAATCATTTTTTGATTTTGAATTGTATAGTGAAAACAAGTTACCTGGAAGCTATCAAGGATATGACTGGATGAAAAGCACAGTATTTCGCAAACTATTTTGTGAAAAAGGTGCTCATTTAATGGCAGCCCCAAAATGTAATGGTTATATCCAATCTCTTTCCTTAATGCTAAGAGCAGTTAATTGAAGTTGATAAAATGTATTATATATAATGAAATTGTAACAACTTTTATGAAGCACAACAATTTTATTAAAAAAATATAAATTGCTATTAACTTTTGTATATATAAAACCAGTCAAACCACTCGCATATTTTAAATCAAAATTATTTTTGTTATTAATGTAGTAAAAGAATGGGTACAATTAGTTGAATTATTATTAATTAATTAAAAAAACTACTGTCTTACATATATAACCTTCTGTCAGAAGAAAATATCCTGAAAATAGTGTTTCTTGTAGTAGAGTTAACATCTTGCATTGAGCTGTTAGTCTTCCATGTCAATATTAAGTTTTCTCTCTGTGACTTGACACTTTACACAAAAATGTTAATATTTTGTACCTCTGTTAGTTTAAAAGCATAGAAGATACACGAATAATAGAGCGTGTATATAAAGAATATAAAAAATTGCAGATGCTTAAGGGGGAAAAAAAGATATATGCCAATGCACAAAACCTCCAATATTTCCTTTAGTGGTTTTCAGAGCTCTTCAATTGTAAATGGTATTCTGGCCTCATAAATTGTTGTAAAACATTAATTTTTATATTATCTTTTCATCTTATGTTAATGAGAGGCTTAACAGCATTTATTTTAATGGAAATTTACTTATAGGAGGATAATGAGATAGGATGTTCAAGAGTGTTTTTTGTACATGGTAAATATCAGGAGTTTATGAAATATTGTAATTAAATTAATATGAACTGAAATAGAATCAACATTCAGAAGTCTGGTAAATTTATTACTATAATGTAATTGGGAAAATACCTTAGATTGTCATTCATTAGAGAAAAGAATAAAGATTACATGTAGTTACAGAAAGGATAGTTTTGGAAAAGGGACCCCCCCCCCTCCCCAAAATAAGCCATCTCTGTTTCCATCACAGCAAAAATGGGACAAAAAACCTGTCTTCTGAAATGCTTTCATTAACTGCCACCAGCCATATTTCCTCTCCCCTGCCTTTACTGTGGATATATGAAGAGTTGTATGTATGTGAAAGCGCACTGCAGTCGAAAATTCTAATATGAGCTAATTCGTTGATATGCTGTAAGGAGTACATATTGAAAAAGTTTAAATAACATGAAATAGTAAATGAACAAATATTAGCATAAACAAGTTTGTAGATATGGCAGTTCAATAATACTCTTAGCTTGTTTCACATTGTGTACATTAAAATAAACATGTAAATTTGTGACAAATACTATGAAAGTTTAATTCAGAATAGTGCTAATTGTATCAAATAAAAAAAATAACTTGAAGGAACATGCGGAAAAAATTGTGAATTATTGCAATTTACAAAAAACAGATTTCAGCAAAAATGAGACCTGCACCATGTTTTTATGCTATTCCAGGTCAAAATTTAATCAAACAATTTGATGTCGTTTTTGAAGAAAAACTGCCTATATTTCAAGCAAAATTATGCGAAAAATAATCAAATTTTCAAAAATTGTACATGGCCTTATATCAAAATGTCTTTAAAAACATTTTATCAAGAAAAAATACCTTATCTTCAATATTTTTGTTGTAGGAAGATGCCGGGGGAGGGGAAATTAAACTCTTGTAATTTTCGAAAAATCGGGGATGTCAACAAAAATTAGAGCTGCACCATTTTCTTAGGCGTCTAATAGGATCCCTTCACGTTGACACAGCAGCGCGTTACCGTCCATCGCGGCTGATAGGAGACCATTTGTTTAAATGGAGTTCTTCCCGAGTGCGTGGGAGTCGGGCAGCGGAATCTTTCGGAGATTCGAACAGCGAAGTTTTACAAAAATATTGAAATGAAACTCGAAATTTGACGCTCTTCATTTGACCCTGTTGTGAAACATTCGGCCAACTTGGTATCAAGTTGACAAGACGCACCGCAATGACAAGACGTTGCTGAGAAAAATAATTACATGGGAATTTGTCCCTTTTTTGTTGCTCAACATTTTCCATGAAATAAATTTTGTTATTTAAAGAATACCAGAAATGTACTTTTTCTCACACGTGGTTTTATTTTCATGTCACGTTAACATCGCAAACGCAAAAAAAGTTTCAGAGATGAATAAAAAATAATTACAGGGGAATTTGTCGCTTTTTTGTTGCTCAATATTTTCCATAAAATAAATTTTGTTACACTTTGAACAATTCCAGATATGTAATTTTTCGCAATCGCGATTGTAACTTAAAGTCAAGTTGTTATTTGTGTAACACACCTGCGATTTTTTGAAAAGTTTGCCGTTTATAACTGCGGAACTCCACTCCTTGAATGCTTCCGTGTCCCTAGTAGTCGGCGCCACCACACATGGGGGCGGAGGGGGGGGGCAATTTATTATGTAAAATTTCATTTTACGACGCGCCTACTCATCCAATTTGGATGATTGACATGGCGTAGGATTCAGGAAGCACTTCGCCATCGCGCTATAATATCACATTTTTAATTTCTTCCAAACTTTCAAAAAAATCATTCAAAACATTTTTCCCCCAAAGAAGCTTTGTAGTGTAAATTCTATATCAAATGCAATTTACTGACAGAAAATCGGACCACTTGTTCAGACATTAGTGGGGGACGGTTTTATTGAAATTTCATTTTTTTTTTTTCCTTTTCACTTCAGAACAATGCTGTTTAGTATAGAAATTCATTTTATGTTAACAAAACAAAATAACTCATTTGTTTTTGTTTGTTTGTTTTTTTTACATTTTTCTCCGATTTCTACTAATAAGTCCGTTTATACATTTTTTACTGATGTTTTTGCTGATTTCATTGATTTTAATATCATTTTAATTGTACTTGCTTTAAATAATATTTACGAGGTGCAACAGATGTTCACCACAGAATTCCCGAGAAGCATATTTGATTTCTTCGCTAATATATTATAATGTCAGCCGTTGTGAGTACTATGTAATCTAAAGTTCCTGTGACGCCTATCGGTGTCAATCCAAACAAACCAGTCCAGTGCAAACCAAATGTTTGCAAACTGAGTTCACTTGAACAATAGGAAGAAGCCTCGATTACATCGATAACAAACACAACAGCGTAAATTGTTCATCTGAAGTGGTTTTGATAAATTTTTTTGCGACTTTTTTTTTGGGGGGGGGGGCATTTTAAGAATATTTTATTGATCATTTTAGCAATGTTTTAGGTCATCAAAATCCGACCCCTCGTTATTAATAAAGTCATTTTACCTTATTTTGATGCTGCTACGTGGTGGCGACAAATTGAACTAGTGTCGGTACAGCTTTAATGTTGACTAACAACATTGAAACATCCACCCCGCAAAGCTGCATTTCCTCATCCCTGACAGCCACTGGTCTATCTTCGCCTGTATTCCTACGTTGAAGTCGAATGTGTAGCAAGGCAGTGTAAACACTCAGGCTCGCAGTAAACGTGCGGTTTAATGTCTTGTATTCAATCTCTACCGTTAATGCAAGAAATTTGCGTGTGCCTTACTAGAGTAACAATGAATGACACAGATGTCATATATATATATATATATATATATATATATATATATATATATATATATATATATATATTTGCATTTTTCGGTTGTAGCAAAAACATGCTACAACCGGCACGAGCCGCCACTGACTTCATTATCCGTGCTCGTTTTCTAACAGTGGAAAATGTAGTTATTCAAATTATTGTTCTCCACGTCGCGATAGGAAGTATTATTCCTTCATGAATGACATGCCGAGAGATTAGAGCCCAAATTTGTATCGAAAATAGATTGTATTCCATCAGAGCGAGTATTTTGTTTACAATCCTTGTCGAAAACGCTAATTTCTTTCGATTTTCAATATTCAATTAGTATATGGCTTAGGGTATGGATCCCAGAATTATGAAAACATGTACTACAGATTTCCTCCGTACGTCACATACAGTTATTACTTTTTGTTTTGACTGAATAAATCTAAATTTAAATTCCCTTCGCCCCGTAGCGCATCACGTACTTTTTTACGTAAAAAAAAATCCCTATCTACTACTTCTATTCTTTTAACAAATTTGGAGCCATTTTTGAGAAAATTTTGAAAATGCCCCTGGGTCTTCATGTAAAATAACCCCAATTTTAAATAAATTTGTTCAAAATCTCAGCCAGATCGACAGAGAAATATCCATTTTGAAAAAAATCCTACGTATGGTTTAGATGCTAGTTGTGTTCATAGACGGACGTTAAGGGGGGGGGACCAACACTTTTTCGGTATCAGGGGACCCAAAAACTTGGATTTCCGTTGAAACCTCGAAATCGATTAACCGCAGCAGTACATAACTTTCTCTAAACTACATTTATCCTCTATGTATGTAAGTATACGAGGATGTTAAAAGGTCAAATTGTGATGAAATAGACAAAATGAAAGTCTAAAACAATTCCAGAAACATAGTAAAGTTATTCCTAATGTTATATGGCAAGTAATTTTGCCAAACTAGCAGCCTCTAGTGAGAATACATCACTCATTGAAGTGACTGGATCTCAAGAATGTAATATCAAGGGTTCAAGAGTCATCTTCATTTCATACTTATAGACAAGATAAGACTATGGTATATTATTATATATGTTATACTTTTATTCAATGCAAAATTCATCTTGAACAAATGAACCAATATCACTGTGATTAGCGAAGGATGCTTCTATTTGTTTTTCAATTAACATGAATTTCAGGGTTGAAATATGCACAATTTCATTTACCTCCAAAACTTTGGAGATAAGAATTCAAAAAATAGCTTGTAAACTGTTAGTTCTTCCACACTCTTCAATTAACAGAAAAATGACTATCATTCTCAAGAACACATGAAAAGATTTAAAACATTAAAAATCTAATACTGTGTTAGGTTTCAACACACTTACAGTGAATTACATTTTTGGTCACAATGAGTAGTTCCAAGGACACCCAGAAAGGGGTGCAGCAGGAGTAGCTTGTGCTAGGCCCCAATTTAATCAAGGTCTCAAAAATTTCTTCATTGAAAATAAATTTATACAAAATGTATTTACTTCTAGTTCAAATTAATCACTAGAAGTTATTTCTGCTGCATGGGGAAACAAATTCTGTACAAGTATTGGAGGTGGGAGGCCCAAAGCTTTTGTTTGAAAAAAGGGGCCCCATGGATCTTCTACCCCAGGCCTCTTGTTTTATTGGGTGCCCCTGCATTCCATTATTTCAAGAAGACCCTAATATTATACAATCAAATGTGTGTATAATAGAGCTGATTTTTTATTATTAATGAAATAGCAATTGCATCTAACAGAATCTTTGCTCAAATATTGAATATTGCATCATGATGCAAAATTCTTTAAGTTCACAATGTTTTATTAATCTATTTATCATAAAAAATCAGTAAGCCTGTAAGTAACATAAGGGGAGGAACAATTTTAACCTAATGAATTTTCATTTGACAATCTTATGTATAGCAAAAGCAACTCAAGCTATAAGTAGAATTTAATTCCTGCTATGACCTTCATAAACTACTATTAAAGCAATGCAATTTCTTTTTTCTTTTAATTATGCTCTTCCTGCTTAATCTCTTTCCACACACATGGCAATCCCCATGCCTCCTCCTATACAAAGTGCTGCTACTCCTCTTCTGCCTCCTGTTCTCACCAAAGCATAAAGAAGGGTGACCAAAACTCGAGTTCCTGTTGAACAGTAAAGTAATTATATATAGCCTAAATTCTTTATTTCTAAAAAAGGGAAGAAGTTTATTTCTATTATTATAACATTTCAATAAATGCAATGTATAAATAATAATATAATAGAATAATGTATATAAATTAATAAGAAAATATGTACCTGATGCACCAAGGGGATGTCCAAGAGAAATAGCACCACCATTGATGTTTACTTTTGCAGGATTTAATCCCAAATCCCGTAAAACAGCTACTGACAAAGCTGCATATGCATCGTTAATTTCAAATAAATCGACATCATCAGTCTTCCAGCCAGCCTTTTCAAGCTGTAAAAAAAGATAATTGTACTGCACTAAACTGTGTATGTAAGGAAGTAGTCAGAAATATCAATAATGTCAGAACAAGTCATGTAATTATCAGGGAAGTTTTGTTTTAACACTGTATCTTGTGGATAAATGTTCATTGGGAACAATCACACTTTTTCTAACATAAAGTCAGTGTTATTACTTAAAGCACTTTTTATGCAAATATGTAGATTGCTATCCCTTTAATATTAAACATCAGTGATTCTTGCAGTGGTGGTTGGTGGCCCTCCAAGCGCCCAAAAACGGGGGATTGTAGCTCCATCTAATGATGGAGAAAAAACAATAGACAAATACTCTGCTTAATTGTTCTGTCATATTATGTCTCATGATGATAACTGCAAATTGTTTTTTATGTATGTTCAAGACACTTAATATTTTTTCTTCTAGCATTAAATTGTTAAACTTTAGACCCACTCTTCATCCATGTATTTTTATATCTAAAAAATATAGAAAGAAAACAAAATAAACCTGTTTTTAAACCACACCCATATAACCAATTGTATTTGCTATAAAATACAGTCTTTAATTTTTGTCTAAAAGCTCTTTTTCCTGATTTTTCATTTGGAGCTGCAATAGCATATACTTTCTTGCATTGTTTATAATTTGCACTTTCCGAAAAGAGTTAAACAAAATAGAGACCTGAGCCATTCTTTTAAGCATTCCATGTTTTATCCCTGGAGAAAAAAAAATTGGAGTGTTCTTTTTAGAAAATGTATTTTCTTATAAATTGCACCTAAACCAAATGACACATGAGTAGTTTCTCTGTAACTCAATTTTAAAAATAATATTTTTTAATGGTTTCTTATCCCCTGTTTCACCACCCACACCCATCTTCAGCCAAAAACGTGATTTTTTTTTCTTCTTAACAATTTTATTTGATTAAATAATATGAAAAATAAGAAAATAATTTATACTATTAGTAAAGCATTTTTTGATATTCATTCACCACCAAATTCAAACGCAAAAAAAACTGAAAAAAAATTACGAAAAGTAATGTAAGTGATGCACATTATTTTTTGTTTTTAAAAAATATTGTGTTATAAACCTGGAACATTCTCGCAAAATATCTCAGTAGTTCCTCAAAGCACAAATTGATGTAATTTTTTTACAGATGTTAGGACTGCTGGGCTGTATTTCAAAAAATAAAAACCATTTTAATCATTTTCTCGCCTTTAAATGACCTTGGCTTTAAATATTCTTTGTAAATTACTGCAACATTTTTCATTTATTCAAATGTCATGATGGTATTGTCGAATGTCAGGAGCAAATGCTGAGATGGCCCCTTGTTTTGCTTCTGGACGTAAATGTAGCTTCACTATGCGCACGTTTTGTTGAACTCTCCTTTTGCTTTTAAAGGTAGGAGTAGAGGTAAGGGCGAGTTACTATTTTGTTAGCAATGCAGAAAAATCATACTTGGAATTCGTTTACGGATGCAAATAAGTTTTCTATAATTCAGAAACGAACGCTAGGAGCGGTCGAGAAGCCACTCCGGGGCTCCCACAAATTCCATTCATCCCAATTCCCATCCAAATTCAAAAAAAATTGCGAAGAAAGATCGGAAGGGAAAAGTAGGGGGAAAAGGCGAGCAAATGCCGCATCTTCTATCTCGTCATCTATACGAACGAAAATCTCAACAACACACTCCAGAAACCGCGACTCGACACTTGTAATCAATGCTGCAATCAGTTTTATCGACAAAAAATTTTCTTTTTATGTGCGCTATCGTTGGGGGTCTATCTTCCCAGATATCAGCAATCGAATCGTGTAACCGCGTGTTGTCGCACTTCGCTGAAATCAATCAAGAGTGAAGTATACTTATAAAGATGGCATAAGACGGTTTTTACTGTTAACGTTGAATTTTCGAAAATGAAGTTTGAAATTTTTTTGGACGCCCTTGTAAAACAACACGATTGGAAACATAATTTTCTTCTTTACATTACATTTGCTTCCCCCAATTCTTTAATTAATTTCTTCGACTTAAAAAATAGTAGTTTTCGGGTAATTTTTAGTGAAATGGTATATATATATATATATATATATATATATATATATATATATATATATATATATATATATATATATATATTAAAACATACGATTTTCTCAAAAACAACTGTGTATGGATTGCTATGTGCACGGAATAATGTCTTATAAACGCCATTTGATTTATTAATTGAATTTTTCAAAAATTTCATGTGTATGTTCAGTGCAATATCTCTCACGTAGCTAATATTCGCATTAAGGTCGTTTTTCGTACATTATTGAACTTCTGAGTACAATTGCTTCCAATGTTTTCTAACGAGACTACTGAAAACCCGAAAGTTTCTTGTGAAAATGAGATTAGTTTGCGGATCTTCAGAAACGATCAAATGATATTTTCTCGAAAACTGTTCCAAATTGTTCAATAAAAAATCGCATTTACAGCCAGGTTTTACTCTTCTAGAATATTCGTAAACCACATTTCAATTCCTCCATTCTAGAAACGTAAAATTAATAAAATGTGAAAACGTGAGCCCTCGCAAAAAGAAAATAAGAACATACAATATTTTTTCTTCGCAACGGCACAGGTAAATTAAGCGTTTTAGCAACCATCAAACTAATATAGTGTTTTAATTCCCGGCAAATTGCTATTTTGAAATGTTCAACTCGTACACAATTTACGGACCTTCCCATGCCGTTCTAGTGCATAATTCGGAATTGTTTATAAAATGTTGTTGCAAAACTGCTGATTCATAATTTTCAACTTTGGGACATCGTGGCACCTTTCCAGCTTTAGATTTGCAAAAGTTGAAAATTGTTTACAAATTTGCTAATGTTGCAATTTTTGTCTCATCTGAATTACCTACAAACTTGAAATAAATATCTGCAATCAGCGCTATCACCTTTCGTTCCCGAGTTATGGAATTGTGTAAAAGAAATTTGCATATCTTTATTTTTTGCGCTCAGTCCTTTCACTCCCCGCACACAACTATACTGAAACGAATTTTCAAATGTTGATCTGTTTTTTTCGCTACATATCCTCAATGTTGTGGGGAGGGAGGCAGCGGCGGTGATATCATTTGGCACATGCCCCAGCAAAACGGTGACTCGGAGCAAAATGTTTGTCATTTCCTGTTTCTTCAAAAAAGGTGTAGCGTTTATTGGTGGCGTCGCGGATTTATCGTAGTGACATTTTGCGACTTACAGAAACGCGGTGAAAACTGTTGCGTACAAACTATAGCGGTTGTTACGCTTTCAAAATTTCCTTTTTATTCTAAACATAGCCAGTATAACTACCATTTCAAAAAAATAATTCGTTTACGCGCTAATAAACAAATTCTTGGGCAAATTTAATAACACCAAAACGCTTGTGTTACGGCGAGTAATGGCATTATTTATTTCTATCTTCTCCAATCACTTGTACGACTTGCGTGGCTATATATTCATCAGTTAGCCAAGAAATTGATAATATACATTTTACAGTAAACCACTTTAAGGAGGACTGCCTTCTCCGGAAAAATCTCAAAATGGACTATATTCCGATATAGGTGTTGCGGTGTGATATCTTTGGCATTTTTCATAATATAATTAAAGACGTCATTGCCAACAATATTATTCATCATCATCATCAGTTGTCTGCTGGATGGAAGCCACAAAAACGACTACCTTTAGGTAGTCCTACCTAAAGACTACCTAAGGTAGGACTACATAAAGGTAGTCGTTTTTGTGGCTTCCATCCAGCAGACAACTGATGATGATGGCTAAGCCATCAAAAGCTGCTTTTGCATTAAATAATATTGTTGGCAATGACAACGTGTTTAATTATTCTATATTCCGATGCAAAGTCACTGGATAATCCGGAAAACTTTCTAACGCGGAAACGGAAAAGAATTTTTAGTACGACAGAATTAAAAACACTGGATAAGAGAACGTATATATTGTTTTAAAATTAAACATTGTACCACTAGGCACTCAGAGCTGTGATCGTCCATTTCTCAGCTACCCTCGACCGAACAACGTATTTATCACGCTACTCGTGCGAAAGCCACCGTTTATTTGTAATACCACTGACCGTAATATCACAAACCCATGTGAAGGAAGGAAAGACGCGAAGAGCGATTCTTCCACAGTTCTCGTAATGCGTGCTTTGAGTTCGGTGGTTCTAACCGTTCACTGTTGCTCAGTTCGTCGAATTACAGGTGTTGTGCTAATCAAGTGTTTATGTCAGGAGGGAAATTGAAAACGTTAACTCTTGGTGAAAATTATATTTATTGAAGAATACTGTAACGTATTAGCCAGCGTGCCTCATGGCATCTATTTGGGGACGCTTGGGAGAGGATTAGACTAGCCACAGGAAGTAGGGTTTTTCCGTAAAGGGAAGAACGCGGAGACGGGAGACACAAGGCTTTGGGTGTCTTCCGGCTTATAGAAGCTTTTCACTGTTATAACAAGCGAGGGGGTGGCGTGACGTAGGAGGTCACGTGGGCCTCGCCTATATAACAGAGTGTACGGAGCCAGTAGGCGGGTTCTGGAGACGGTGGGAGAACCTCGTGCGTGTGCACAAAACTTGGCGCCTAGACGGTGCATATGCGAGCCAGGCTCGCGAGGCTGGAGTCATTAGTTGACGAAGCCTGCGGACTTTATGTCCTTGGGTGACTGCGGTCACGGGGGAGCGATGCTGTGTGCGTGCTCCGAGGTGAAGAGTGGTTGAGTGCCACGATTCACGCCGATTCTCAATCGGATAAGATCGCTCCTGCGATCGAGGCAAACCAGCCGTTGGTGCGCCAGAACGGACTTTGTGTCCCAGCGTGACATCCGGTCACGGAAGCTAGGCTTTGTGCGCGCTTCAAAAGTAGGAGTGGCGAATGCCACAATCAAAACCATCTTCAATCGGGTTTTGGATCGCTCCCGCGATCAGGGGATAGTAGGTCTATCAGAGCTAGGGTGTAAGTAAATTATTAAGTGTATATATTTGTTTTGTTTTCTTTGTTAATAAATATATTGTTATACGAAAGCTCTGTGTCTGTGGTCGCTGTGAGTATCCATGACGTCACAATACAAACAAAACAACACGTCTGTCAAGGTGTTGATAAAGAAATTTAAAGATGGGAAAACTCAAGTGTATGATACTTTACAAATACAAAATCATGAATAAATGTTTAAAATATTTTTTTTAAATTAGTTGCCACAATAAACATGAGTACCTAAGCAAGTAGCAGATGCCTAAATGATCAGATGAATTCATCTGTTCGTACAAATATTGAAGATAATCATGTTTATTTCATATTGTTTCATTAGCTTCGTGTTGCGTTTCAGAATGTCATTTTCGTGTCGGTATGTCTCCTTGAAAAGTATTCGTTTCTTTGAATGATAGTTTCAGGTGAGATAAACTACTCATATTTGAACGATTGAGTTTTCTGAATTGACACTTTTTATTGCAAATCTGAATAAGCCGGAAACCTGTACAAGACCGAAGAAAATGTTGGACCCGAACGATTCCGGCTTAGTCTTCGGTTTTACTGTATCTTGTACTGTACTTCACAAGTCGTAAAGGTGGCTCGTAGAGCAATATTACTACAGATATTTTCTATCCATGGTAAGTGGATCTATCAACGGGTTCAATATTCGGGAATGTGTAAAAGTTCCCGGTTCGGGGGCCTAGCGTTAGGAAAATTAAACGAAGGTCATTTTAGCGATAACGTTGAAAAAATACTTGTCGATAAAAGCAATCGCTTTCCGTGAACTAGTGGAGCGAAACTAAAAGCACATACTTTCTCGCCCCTAAGGGGTTACGTAATCCAATTTAATATTATGTAATACATAGTAATAATATAGTTATAATATTATGTAATACTAATACTATGCTTACGTAATACTATTTATACCGCAATTTCTTTCAAAATTAATGTATCTCAGTCATTTTTTTGTACAACTCAAATTTTTGAAAAATTGTAAATGACCTTATTTCAAAGTATATATTTAAGGAACAGATTTCATTAATAGGAAAAATCTCTATCTTTAATGTATTAGTTAGTGACAACGAAAAAATTGAAAATGTGAGTATAGTTGTGAAAATGTGTAAAAACTCCATCGTTTTTTATTAAATTTTGTTGTTGGATAGTATGAAGCACATTTGAGAGAATGGCGTAGGTCTCATGTTCGTTACAAACCTAATTTTTAGGAAACTGCAAAAATTCAAAATTTCTTGGGCGTTTTCTACAACTACATGTTAGAGGATTTTCTTTTTTCCTTAATAAATTGTGTTCATCAAAAACAATTCTTCAAAAGAGGCCACTTTCAATATTTCGAAAATATTAATATTTTTTGCGTAATTTTAGATCAAACATAGGCACTTTTAAAACAATTTTAAATAATTTTCTTAGAAATTTTGTCTTTCTTTTTATCCTCGTATGTAGCAAAGAACTTCAAGAGATAGTGGTGACGGTCCTATTTTCGGCGCAGTCTGCATTTTCGAATATTGCAAAAATAGTTCGGAATCGTAAATTCGAATTTCGGGCGCTTCGTTTCGGGCGTTGCCAGTTCGGAAAATAGCAACACAGATCCAAATTCTTCGAAATCATCCCATTGTTGTTGGACATGTTTGTATGATGGAGATAATATTCTTACGAAAGGAAATATATTGAAGAAAGGTAATACATTTTAATTTGGAATTAACAAACACATTTCTATACTGTAATAAGTTTTAATCGCTGATTATTGTGTTAAAAAATTGAAAGCTCATATGAAGTATAATGAAGGAAGGTTTAATCTTTGCTTTTCTTCATTATGTTTAGTAAATACCAACGAGATAGTATAATTTATTTTCTCGCTCGTTGGTAAATACTGTCTATTTTAAATTTATTCATGTTCGTTTAAATTCTAAAAGAAATTACTACTCTTCCTGACAACGGAAATAAATGCAGATAAGCGCAAGGGGCAATTCGTTTGAAATAGACTTTTCCAAGCTATAACTGAGTTTATGGTACGGCAAAAATTACAATATTTTAATATTACGTAACTATTTATAATCATGCGAGAAAGTATGTGCTGTTGTATCACCTCTAGTTTCCCACACCATTACATAACTTTCTCTTTTTAAGAAACACGTTTTAAGGACAAAAAAGTAAAGGGATTGCGATTGGAGGAATGCAGACAATGTCATGAATTGTTTCTCGTGCTAGAAACCCTCTTTCATACTCGTTATAAACCCTGCGAAATCTCTGAAAATTAGACTTCACTCCTAGGGCTTTGGTCTTAATTAATATATTTTTATTTAAGTTTTAAATATAATTCTCAATAATTAAATGAGACAGAATTACGATTTTAAAAAATTCAGATAATAATTCAATACAAATATCTTCAAAATAATTACGTTCTATCAAAATATGAATTTCCCTTATTAAAATATTATGATGATAAATATTGTAGGCAAGACGTATAACTGATTGAGAACATTTAGATAAAAGTTTATTTCATAATCTGTTATCATCTGACTAACTTGTATAAACTAATATAATTATGAGGTAAAGAAAATATACTTGTGCAACAGTGATTATAATAAATTTTAAAGACCACCAAAAAATTGATAAAATTAGAAGTCACTTTTACATACCGCTTTTCTGACAGCAGGAATAGGGCCAAGTCCCATAACTACTGGGTCACATCCAGCAACAGCATATGAAACAACTTTAGCCAAAGGATTTAATCCACGTAATTTTGCCTCTTCACTACTCATTAGTACCACAGCTGCAGCACCATCATTTATTCCAGAAGCATTACCAGCTGTCACTGTCCCATTCTACAAAGAAAACTTTAAACATCAGTATGTAATGTATTTTTCAATGAAAAATGTACAGGTTTACTAACTTTAATATATCTAGCTGGTAATTTTTGTAGTGCTTCTATTGTGAGGCCATGACGTGGGTATTCGTCACTCTTTATTTCCACAGAAGACCCTTTCTTGTCTATAAATGTGACAGGAACTATTTCTGCATCAAAGTAATTTGCTTTTTGAGCTTTTTCTGTTTTTTGTTGAGATTCCAAAGCAAATTTATCTTGTTCTTCTCGAGAAATGTTGTACATTTTAGCTACATTTTCAGCTACAAATAAAAAATTCTTCAGTATTAACCACCTCACAAATAGGGAAGGGAAGAGAAATGTTTGAACACTATTCCAGCCAGTAAGAAAACTGGGAAATCTTACCTGTTTCACCCATTAGAATATTGTGGAAAGCATCTGTAAGGCCATCTGTGAGCATGGAATCTGCTAAATTTCCATCTCCCATTCTTAAACCACCTCGTAAATGCACAGTATGAGGTGCTAAGCTCATTGACTCCTGTCCACCAGAAACTACAATACTGGAGTCTCCAGTAAGAATAGCTTGAGTCCCGAGGACTACTGATCTACACAGATAAAAAATACGAGTATATACATATTCAAACAACTTGTTCATCAGAACATATTAAAGAGAATCAGAAATAAAGAATAAACCAGTAAGATAAATAAATAATTATTTTTTGTAAACCTCCACTCAAATTTAAGGTATTGAGATACTGCAATACTTAACAGCTAGTGTGAAATAATATAAAATTAAGTTTGAGTTTGAAATAATTTGATGTTAATGTGGACACTGGGAGATCCAATCAAAAATCAACATTCTTTTTTAGTAATTTTACTCATTTATTCAAAACAATTTCCATGCAATGATTGTATCATTTAAAGGAGAATATTTTACTTTTTTTTTTATTTCAAAAATATATATTTTATTTTAAGTTTCATCGACAGCTATGGTCCTTAACTACTACTTAGGAAATCCATTTCAAAACAGAATCTTATTACAAAAACTTTTAAGCATCATTATGTGATGTATTTTACAATTAAAAATATACAGTTTTCACTAACTTTAATATATCTAGCTGGTAATATTTGTAGTGCTTCTATTGTAAGTCCATGATGTGGGTTCTCATCAACTTATTACTGTTGAAGACCCTTTCTTGTCTGTAACAGTGACAAGAGCTATTTCTGCTTCAGTCATTTGGTTTCTGAGATTTTTTTAGATAGATATATAGAAATATAATAAAGAAAAAGAAATTCTGATTTTGTCAAAACCATTTATGGATAGGGGATCTGGATTTAAATTGTCCCAGTTACACGATGAGGGTGATAAGTTCAAACTGAAATTGTTCTCTCGGATCCCTGAACTACTTTCTGGATGTAGTGCTACGGTGTATAAATCACTTTCTAAACTTTCTTTTTTAACTATACACATTTCAGAAATGGTACTTCAACAATTATTTATGTAAAGAGACTACATAATTCTATCATTAAAATAAACTTTTCATGAATGATAACTTTTTCTGAAACTTAATGACAATATTAATATTATCTATCAAGCTTTGTATTTTCTTTTAATATTGCATGTTGAAATTATTTTTAACCACAATTTATTCTATTCCATTTCAATATTTTTGTTTTCTTAAAAAATATCCTAGAAGTTAAGCCTTATGATGGTTGAATATATTCGAAATTGACTAAAAACTTTACAACTTACTTTAAACCAGATCCACACAACAAATTTAGAAGGTATGCAGGCACTTCCTTTGGTATACCTGCCATCATGGATGCCTGTCGTGCAGGATTTTGCCCCTGGCCAGCTTGTAAAGTCTGAAACAAAAATATATTAATTCAAAGTTATTAACAATCAATTTGTGATGAAGTTTAAAAAAAAAAAAACAAGGTTCTAGTTCTGGCTTACTTGTCCCAATATAACTTCTGAGACATCTTTTGGATCGACATTTGCTCTCTTTAAAGCCTCTTTAATAGCAATGCTCCCCAATTCATGTGCCTTAACTGAAGATAAAGCTCCACAAAAAGACCCTGCAATGTAAGAAACATGCCATAGAAATAATGAATTTTCCCAGTCATTTTCTGGAAGAAGCATTTAAAAAATAATATATATTCATAGCTGATCATTTTCGATTTTTAACAGAGTAAATGAAAACATTATTCATTACTGTCAAATCTGATATTTCTCACCAATTGGGGTACGAGCACCTGACACAATTACGACTGATTTGCCACTCATGATCGTGCAGCGAATCCCTCTCGAGGGCAGTAGGGAGGTCAGCCCAGTGCCTTCGCTCGGCGCGGCGGATGCAGTGAAGGCCTGGGTCCGTAGTAACAGTGGTCATGAGCAGATGGAGAGCGTCTGTATAATCACATGGAATGTGTAAACAAATCGTTCAAGGCCAGTCCGCCAGACGTAACCGGCTTGCTACAGCGAGCATCTGACCGTGACTGTCTGAATGTGCAACGTGCGAACGTGTGATAACTGTTACGTCATTGTGTCAAAATTGATATAGAAAACTAGAGGTATTACAACATGGCACGTACTTTATTTAACGATTATTTAAAATAATTATATTGCAAATTACGCACTTGAGGGCCATCCATTAATAACGTGACGCAAATTTAGAACATTTTTAATAGACTCTCTCCCCCTGTAACTCGCGCATGAAATCCCTTAAATAATTAGGGAACCCCTCCTTTCATTTAGAAAAAGTAAAAAGATATATAACAATGAAAAACAATTTGTATTAATTGTATTGAGTTATGTCCGAAAATTAAAAATAATTAATTGGCGATGCTGACTGCACCTAACAAAACGATTAGGGGACAATTTGTACGTGAAGGAAGGAAGCATCGGCGAGAACATTTCAGAGTAGTGCACATGTGAACGACGCATGGGCGAGAATCTAATTTTAATTTAATTTGTTAATATTTTAATGTATTAGTGTGAGGCTGAATAAAAGGAATTATTTTGGCAAATGTAGAAAAAAAAACATTATCAGCGTAACGGAACACTAAACTAACCCACTACCACCAGCCCCTGTGCCCCCACCGTCCTAGCCGAGACGAGCTCAAAGCTTGCGACGGTCTCCCGCCATGTGTGGTAATGTAATACTTATTGGGGGAAGTGTGAGGCTAGGAAAATGAAGAGGAAGGAAAGATAGCGTGCGGTCCGTGATTCGTTTGTTAGGGAACTGCTCCTGACAAGATATCGACTATGTCTATGTCCCATATGGCGTTAGTTCTTCTATCGACTTCGCTCCAATTTCGATTCTCGATTTTGAGTTACCGTTCTGTGATTGGTTCATTTCTTATGTCTTCTGTAAGCACAAGCACAGAAGCTTGCAAGCTTTTAAGTTAACGTCTTACGTGTTATGCTTATGCGAACGCATTGTGAATGAGTCCGCTTGTAGTAAAGTATTCCTAACTTTTATGTCAACGCCATGCTTGCGTTTACGTTTGCATTGTGAATGGGCCTTAACGCGTTAACCGAGGCGTGCTACCTGGTGCTGGGCGCCACGCCACCCAGCCGCCGCGTCGCCAGGGCCTTTGACCGAGCCCTTCCTCCCGGCCAGCGCCTGTGCCAGAGGCCGGGCGAAGGAGACGTTGGTGCAATCCAGCACTGTCGCCTTTATTGCTTGTGGTTGTTTTTTATTGGTTTTGTAGTTTGTTGTTTCTGCTTTTACAAGAAAAGTGCAGCGGAAAAGCGTCCAGAGTGGACTTAATTTCAATTTCAATCACGACCTGTATTCCACCCTTACCCGGAAGCGGGTAAGATAGGTAACAAAAAAATTGGTTGTATATATAGTAATAATTAGCAAGATATATATATTATATATATATATATATCATATATATATATATATTTTAATATACTAAGAACGCGGAGGAAGGCAGACGCGATGCCATTTGAATGAAGTGCGGGGTCACTCTGTACGAGGATGAAAATGAGGAGGAATATTGAAATTCTTGTGATTTCGGAAACGGGGAAGCCCTTTAAAGTAAGAAGCAATTCAACGTTCAAAATTTTACATGACATTTGACAGTATAATTCCAGGTCCATTTGGTTGAAAAATGTAGAGCAGAATTGCATTTATCTATATCGTCCGTATCAATATTCCCAAGTACTCATGCTTCAATTAATTCTTCCACAACAGGGAAAAACACATCCAGATAGTAAAAAGTCGTAGAATTTTTTAAAACTTTTTTAAATGTTATGCAAAAATTCTGCAAAACACTTAAAAATATACATAACCTTTTTTACAGATCTTATTTTTTTAGAACAGATTTCATTTAAGACAAAATTCAGAATTCATTATTAAACTTTTACAATTTCCGAAAATACACTGTTCGCGAAAAATGGAACCGGCACCAATTTTTGTACCGCCATTTGATAAATACAAGGAGAAAATTTTAAGAAAAAATTGGAGTCTATTTGGGTAAAAAATTGTTTAAAAATTCGAAGTAAAAATAATTTGACTACACCAGCCATATTGTGCGCATTTCATAAGGGGTCGTTCAAAAATTACGTAATGCTAACCAGGGGAGAGGGAGCGTTACGCTACGTTACATACGGGTAGGGAGGTATTAGTTAAGTCTTAGATATTTATTTTTTACATTTTCAACACTTATTTAAATAATTCCTTTTTTGAATCCTGAACTAAAACATGAAAATATTAACTAATTTATTTATTTGAAAAACAAACTAAAGTTCTTCGTTAAGAGTTGTTACAATAAATGGAAATATCTTTTCAACTTTTTTTGTATCTGCAAGATTACGAAAAAATATTAAAAATTAAATATAAAAAATTAAACTCACAACTTGCCCCAATCTTGTTGTTAGATGCAGCCAGCATCGCCAACTAACTTCAATTTTAATTATAGTGAATTACTTTAACATACACTAGTAAAATAAATGGTTTAAAGTGTACTGTAATTTATTTACACTTCTTGCATTTACAGGGGGTGTAGTTGCAATCGTTGCGTAATTATTTAGGGGGGTTCAAGAGCGCGTTACAAGAAGAGGGGGTATTGAATATACTCCAAATTTGCGTTACGTAATTTATGGACGGCCCCTAAAACGAAATACGCGTGCTGTGTTAGCAGTAAAACGATAGATTTATCGAGATAGTTCGATTTCTCTGTACTCTGCAGGTTAAAAACGAAAAAAAATTACATTTTTTAAAAATTTTGATTGAAGGATAATTGCATTTGATAAATAGATAAATACAAGAATAGACACCATTTAGACATTTAAACATTAAATAGGAATTTATAAGCACTATAAAAGTCGCAAATTACACCCCATGTGACTGAAAATTAATAAATAAAAAAAATTGCGTGTTTTTTTGGAGGGAAAAAGGAGGCAAAAATCTGCAGCTTACTAAAATCTTCCTTGACCGCAGCAATGGCAACGTGATCATCCGCAAACAATATGTGTACATGTAAGATTCTTTTACTATTACTCGCGCAACTTTTCTTGAACGATGGATTGAAGAAATGTGGATAGAGTTGGGAGTATTAGTTACGTAATGAGCCACTATATTTTATCAAGCAATGCCAATCTCTGGAGAATGAGTCATGCCTTCGCAACATTCTCAGGAGTTCGACGAACCCCTGTGATAGATCTTCACCTGCTTCTGTCATTTCCTTAGATTTTTTGGAGAAAATCACGCACAGAAGTTCAACAGAAAATAGTTTATATTTCGCGCCAGTGAAGATGTGTTTGCAATGTTGACATCAGTGCACGCAGCAGGCTTTTGTCTTCAACTGTATTGTAGGAGAGACGGGGAAGCAAGGTCATCATTCAAGAAAAGTTGCACGAGTTATGCTTTCGTATATTACATTTTCACACCGATTGTCTGAATCTGCCTGAATCTTGAATAGCATTGGTGACAAACAGCGACCCAGTAGCAGCCATCTCGTCTTCTTGTAGATGGCCGAGGTGGTGTTTTCATTTTTACTTTCTCGTTCAGACATACTACGTATAAATGAAGTAATATTGCCTTCTTGATATAGAGAAAATTACGTAATGTTGCGGTAAAAAACGGTGATTTTTCGACAGAAATCTTGTATTATAGGGCCTTGATATAAGCCTAATAATCCCTGGTGTTTTTTCGCATTATTTTAAATTTTCAATTTTCGAAAATTCAGAGTGTTCAACGGAAATTAGACCATCGTCATTCTTATAAGCGTCCCTTCTATCCATGGAAAAAGTTTAAAGACAAAATTTGGAGCGTTTTTTTTATAAAAATATGTTTAAAAAATGTACATGACATATTTTAATATTTTACAACAGGTTTTGTCTTAGGTAAAATTCTCTCATCAATTTTGTAGTTTTGAAATGTTAACTTTTTGCAGTTTTCGAAAATACGGAGAGCTCGCCGAAAATGGGACTAGCATCATATGTTTACCGTCCTGTGATACATATGAAGAGAAACTTCAAAGAAAATTTGGAACGATTGAGAACAAAATTAAAATTGCCTACAGTTTGTGCAAAATTACACGAAAACTACTCACATTTTCAATTTTTTTCGTAGCCTTCCTACAACTAAATTACTAAAGATAGAGATTTTTTGCTAATGAAATCTGCTCCTTAAAGATGGATGAATTTAGTACATGGACAATTTTTCCAAGTTTTGAGTGCTTTTCGCGAAACTTTGCATGAAAATATTGGATGATAATATACGCTCTATTTTGACACCACTAGTTATCTCTTTTAAGAATGCTTCAGGTTTATCGCATATTCAATTCTTGAACCGTCTCCATACTAAACCAAATTACTCCTCGTGTCATTTTTAAACCCCCCCTGAACTCTGTTAAGAGTTCTTTGAAAATAAAATCCAATTATCAATTGAGATAAAGATTTTTCCTCTTTTCTGTTCTTTTTGGTAAACCTATTCTAACATATTCCCGGCTTCTCTTGCTATAATTCCTCGTAGCCTTCAATTTGTACGCATTTCTTTAGGATTGATTTCTTCACATTTCATCGTTTACTAATTTTTTATACTTCAGATCTTACTCTTAAGGCTAAATGCACCAACATATACTTGAAGGAAAATTCAATAGACGATCAAGTGGGGGATCGACCGAGCAAGTCCATCACGTGAGGAATCGACCAAGGCAAGTCGACAAGTGGGAGATCGGAAACCCAGCAAGCGATCAAGTGGCTTTGATCAACCCAGCCGTTCGAGTCTAAGATGATGGCGATCCGACCCGCAACGATCCAAGTAGTGATAAATATGGACTCATGCAAGTCGCAGCAAGTAAATAGGATCGACCAGCAAGTAAGGATCAAGTGGGGATCGAACCCACAAGCCGATCAAGTGGCGGAATCGACCCAGCGAAGTCGCCAAGGGGGATCGACCAAGCAAGTCCATCAAGTGGAGATCGAGCCTAGCAGTCGCATTCAAGTGCTGATCGAACCCACGCATTTCGATCAAGTGAGGATAGACCGCAGCCGAAGGTCTGATCATAAGATGAATAGGACCCAGGCAAGTCGAATCAATAAGAGGATTCGACCCAGCAAGTCGATCAAGTGGGAGAGGATC